CCACCTGGGCCAGCAAGTCATTCATGCTCTCACTGCTCTCCTCGTGGTTCCGGCCCAGAATCCGAAGCAGACGAAGTATCTGGACCTGCAGTTGGGTTAAAGATGGAGAGGTGGAGGAGTTCTTAGAGTAAGGAGTCATGGGGCTGAGAAGAAAAATCTGACATTGAGGAGAGTATTAGGAGGGGTCTGGCTGGTTTCCTAGAGCCTCCCTGCCCCTCTGCCTCCCCTCCACAGGTCCCTTAGGCTCTGGGAGGGGATCAGAGATATGTGAGGCTAGGGGATTTGGGGACAGGCTGTTTTTTTATTGTTAGTAAACTGGATTTTCTGACCTTTAGGCATCCTGGGTTGACCTGGGCAGTCCTGTGCCTATCACCCTGCCCAAGACACTAACTGAGCCAAAGTGTTCTCTAGGAGGTGACCACTGGCCATGGGCTTACTGCCAAGCTCTCTGTTCCAAGGATACATCAGAGAAGGGTTAGCGCACCTGTAAGAAGGGGTCACTGACTCCAGATATGCTGTGTTCTGTGGAGTGTCCCGTTGTTACCAGAGTCCTGAGGATCTGTACCAGCTGGGGTACCACCTGGAGGGAGGGCACAGCCTTATCTGGGCATTTTTCCTAATCTTCTCAATTGTCAGCCCATTCCGACCCCACTGCCCCTCTTTTCCTGGCCCAGGGCCTATCCCTTCACCAGCCCACCTTTCGAAAGTGCTTGAGGGCTGCAGGGCTTCGTTCGCAGAGCTCTGTGATCAGCGTGATGGTGCCCAGCAGGACGCCTGGTGTCAGGGCAGGGGAAGTGAATGGTGGGCCAGGGGCACAGGACAGTCTACTGTGTGTGTGCACATACTACTCTTCTCCAGTGAGCTAGGGTTCCTGTCCCATTTTCCACCTTTGGCCATAGCCAGAGCTGAGGCAGGGGATGGGGAGCCCCATGGCCTTACCATGGTGGCGTTCGTGAAGCAGTTTGGCACAAACTGGGAGGAAGATGTCGGAGAGTTCAGGGACTTTTCGGATCATGTGCACTGCAGTCAGAACAGCCTGCAGAGGTCAGGGGGCTCAAAGAGGGCAGGATCTGCCAGGATGGACCCCCCACCTCTGCCACATGGCAAAGGGCAGTATCTGGAGGGACATGTGCCTAGAGTCCCGCCATCTCACCTTCTTGCGCACATAGGGGCTTCGCTCCAGGAGGAGTTTCTCCACCTCAGTGGCCAGGTCCCGGCACATCTCAGCAGAGCCCATGGTGCTTAGAGTGCACAGGGCCAGGCCTTGTACTGCTTGAATACCCTGGCTCAGGTCACTGCAGAGTTTTGGGAGGACAGTCAGTCAAGCCTCTAGTCCTTCCAGTACCTACAGCAGGCAGCCCCCTGGGATTTCCCAGTTCCCCACTCTCCCATCTCCCTGATTCCAAGTGCTTCCCAGAACCCCTCACTTCTTGATGCTGTTGGTAATGAGCAGGTGGGCATCCTGCCTCTCATCCAGTAGAAGCATGGCCCCCAGGTAGCCCACCCTCTTGTCTATGAACCTGGGGGAGGCGATCAGTTTCAGGCACTCCATCTATAGGGAAAGAGGCAGACCAGGAAGGGACAGGAGTGAAACCAGAGGCACTAACATCCCTTTTCTATCTTCCTCCTTACCACCCGGTTAACTTGTCAGGGCACCATATCCCATCACTCTCCCTTCAACAAAAGGAGAGGCTTAGAAGATTCAGTGGGTAGTTTCAAGAAACTGAGAGTTGAGACCGGGAGAGGAGAGGAGGAGGTGCCCTGAATGGGGCTGGCCAGAAAATGAAGGATCAGTCCAGCTGATGGCCAATAGGGGCTGTAATGGGGAAGCAGGTCTGCGGTGCATGCTGTGAGGGCTCGGAACATTGTACAATTAAAAAACAGGGGCACAAACAGGTGAGGAGGCCCAAGCCCCTGCCCACTAGCCTCCCTCGTCAGAATGAGAAGGGAAGCAGCCTTGGTCCGCACCTGTCCAAAGTGGGCGGGGTAGCCTAACATGTGGACATAGAGTAGCTTGGCTAGCTGGCGGTGCCTGTGCCCAGGGTCCCCATCGCGGAAGGAGGCCCGGATGTGGGCACACTCCTTTTGGATCACTTCCCGCTCCTCGGCCTGGGTCTTGGCCCCACGAATCTCCTCGATTAGATCTTGAAGCTTCAGAGAAGGCGCCACCATCCTGGGGG